CAGCGGCGGGTGTGACGTCGTTCTCATCGTCACCTCCCTGATCTGCCTCGTCGTTCGTTACCATCGCCAATACTTCCGAAAAGTGCTCCTTGAGGTCGTCTATCGTAGGGCGATGCCTGTTACTCCGAAGTTTACCATCACTCACTAGGTACGGGATGTCGTCCTTGACCTGCAAGTGCACGAATCCCTGCTTTGGCGTAACCATGAAAGGTAGTTTACCAGGCATCCAGTGAAATGCATAACCCATCTTCATGCATCTCCTCCCCACTGACAATACCGTGGGTGTCTCATCCAATACATGCGGCTCGACAGTCTCGTCCAACTCGTCCACGACTATCTTGGCCACATCAGATGTGGAAGTGGAACCATTCGCGGTCTGGAACACGATCTCGTCGTCATCTTTCACGATGTCGACACCCAGGCTCTTCGCCTTGGCTCTTCCAATGAGATCATGACCACATCCGGTGTCCATCAACCATTTCACCCGTTTGCTGATGCACGTTGACATGGCGAAAACGTTCTTCGGCATACCATGCTGCTTCTTCCAGTCGACAGCCGATTCCTTGATCTCGTCCTTGTTCCGATCATACTCGAACATTATGCTGCTCTCCTTGGTCACCGGGAAGTAGTGCTTCTTATATACATCATCCACCACTTCTCTCAGTATCTTCGCACGTATCAATGATCGTTGGACTTGGTAGGCTGATAATTCACGATGATCACTGCTTTTGAACTTCTTCTCGTCGACGTACACGTACTGATAAGGCTCATTCTCATTGTCCTCATAACCGTACCATTCCCCTTTTCGTTCCCATTGCCTTCTCTCGTCTTCGAGGTAGGTGATCTCCCCATTCTCGTCGACGTCGAGCACTTCCTTGAACCACACCATTTTCTCGGGGATCTCGGACTCGCCAGACCATCTCGATGATTCGCTCATCGCGTCGTCATCGTGCTCGTGGTAGACAGTCTCGGCTTCGTCCGGTTCGACCTGATCAACGTCCTTCTTGAAGCTTACCTTCCCTGCAGGAGCCGATTGCTTCAGGACTATCGCGGGCATTGCGATGGCCCTCCTCGCAATGGCTGGCGCTGCGGCTTTGGCGGCAGCCTTCGACTTGGCTTGCGCCTTGTCATTTGACGTTGCTGGAGCTGAATTGTTCTTGATGAGCTCATGCCTGTACTTGCAAGCGCTTCCCCTATCGCACTTCCCCTTCTGAAACGCGAAGCATGCTCCATCATCCCTCTTTGGTGACGATGATCTGGACTTGGATTTGCCCTTTCCTTTCCCCTTGGACATGCTCTCCAACTTATGCTCCGTCTTCTTGCTGTGGGAAAAAGTGCATTCATTCCCTTTCACGCACCCCTTCGCCGATTTGAAGTGGTACCAGCAGGGGTTATCCTTGCTTCCGCCCGGACTCTTGCCTCTGTCGCTGGCACCGTCGGACTTGCCGTTCTTGCCAGCGTGGCCCTTTGCCTTGGCTTTTGGGAGCACAGGAGCGGCATCAGGTCCACCGGGTTTCCCCTTTCTGCCCTTGCCACCCTGGTTCTCCTGTTTGCCAGTTGCTGGAGCCGCATCCTTCCCGCCTGACTTCATCATCGACTTGACCGATTTCTCCTTCATGTCGAGCATCAGGTCTTCCCGATCTGCCTTGATCTGATAGTCGATCAACGCCAATAAGAATTCATACGTCTTCTGAGGATGCTTGTCCGGTAGTCTATGGTAGGCATTGAGGCCGAACTCCATCTTCTTGCTCCCTTTGATCTTCCTGTAAAGGATGTCTCTGAGAGCCAGCTTACTGGGTCTGTCCTCGCTCCTCATCTTCAGCAGCAAATCATACCATTTGTTCCTGAACATGACCAAGTTCTTGTCGCCAGGAAAGTCAAGGTTGAATAAATGCTCGATGTGGTAGACAAGATCCGTTCTATCGGAAGTTCTGAATGATTGCATAACTAATGCCACCAACTCTCGTCCCTTCACGATCACCCCTTGTTGATGTCGTAGTTCAGAGTGTCGTGTAGCATCGAGGTATACGTCCTTGGCTTCGTCAGGTGCTTGTTTCAGCATGTTCTGCATGCCCATGGCCATCTTAATATCTATCGTAGCAAATCTGTCGCCACCTGAATCGCTAAGCAAATCCAGGTCTGGGTTCAACCCAAGAGCCTGCTCCAGCCATTTCGTCCATGCGTCGGTATCTGGATCTGCACATGCGCTCAGAACATTCATCAGCAGTTGCATCTTCCAGGTGTCAAGTTGATGGATCTTTGGCCAGGCCGGAATAGATACTCTCTCGGCCTCTTTCCTCGAGATTCTCGGTCGATCATTCTTGATCTCTCGGTTATCTCTCGATCTCCTTCGTCTCCTCCGTGTCCGATCGTCTTCTTCCTCTTCTTCTTCCTCGTCTTCCTCATCTCCTTCGTCGTCGTCATCCTCATCCTCATCATCGGGTGGATCATCCGGAGGTCCTCCTCCGCCACCAGCGAGGCTCAACTGACGTCGACCCGCTCCCTGCCCATTCCCATTGGGCGGGAATCCACCGTAATCCAATGGGGGCGTAGTACCGTTGTTTCCCCCCCCATCACCACCACCAGTCGTAGTAGTGGATTGTGGGACATGCCCAACAACCCCTTGCATCTGGGATAGGTGTACATCGATCATTGGATCACCGAAAGACGGAAAGAGGATCGAACCTGGCATCAGCGACGAATTAGGGATTTGATTTGAAGACGATGACGGGACTGACCCAGCCACCTTCTTGTCTATCCTATTTGAATTAGCCTGGGTTCCTCCCTCAGCGCGTTTCACTACTGCTCGTTCACGATGTCCATCTTTGCTGCTGGAGGCTTCCTGTGTCTCCAGCTTCTTGTGTGCACGTAGTTCCTCGTTGTCAGCATCGAGTTGGCGTACAAAACTCTCTTCTTGCTTGAGCGTCGCCTCTCTTTCCTTCAGTTGTCTCTGAAGCTCATGCATCTCCTCGAGGTACTCATCGTACATTCCCTTAGCTGTCAATCTCCAGTACTCAGCCTCCTTCGACTTCTCGTCCATCGTGCACCGTTCCTCTTGTTTCTCTTCTTTGACCTGGGCTAACTCCAAGATCGCATCCTGACGATGACCACCTTCGACAGCAATCATCTGGTCCTTCATCGACACGTCGGACTCATACTGTTTGACGATCTCTTCCTTTTCGCGAAGCAAGCAATCTGCTCTCTTCGATTCCTGTTCCGCAAATACTGTAACGTCATTCAGCCTCGCCATCAGCTGTTCCCTGGAGTCCTCCAAAGAGTACGTCTCGGGGCGCTTGACGAGTGCATGCTCCAACTGTGATTTCAGACTTTGGACCATCTCCTCCTCGTTGAACTTCTCGATAGATGTAGAAGATTCTATGCCTCTGATCTGTTGCTGATAAACTGATATCTGTTGTGAAGCCTCACGGTGTATCTGATTTGCACGTATAGCTGATTCCTGCGCGGCCGACTTCTCGCTTGCCATGTAGGATTTCATCAATGCAATTTCCCGCGTCTGCTCCATGATAGTTCCTTCAGCTTGTCTCATCTGTTGCATTATAATATTCGACTCCATGTCTTTCTTCTCCCCGTACTGGAATGCGTTCATTTCTACCTTGCGCATCTGTTGGGCTTCTTCCTCAAACTTGCGCCATGCCTCAGCCATGTGGTGTTGGTGGTGACTCACTAGATGTCCCGACTGCTTGCTGGCAATCTCGCATCGTCTTTCCAGCTCCTGGATCCGGATGGTGCTTCCATAGTCTTCTTGGTTAAGATTCGCCATTGCTGCCGACATTTCATCAAGTGTCTTCTGATATTCCCCGATCTCCACCTCCATCTTATTCTTCTCTTTGATCACGGCGCGAAAATCTGCACTGGTGGGTGATTTTGACCTCCCACCCTTCGATGTCGATCTCACGCCCTTCTGCGACGTCCGTGGTGTCGCAGGCGAAGATGATGATCTTCTCGGTGGGGATTCTCTTTTCTTCGACTCCTGATGAACATCGATCTGCTTCCATGATCTTGTGGGAGTAGATATGTCGCTGAATAGCGCGGAACCTCCGCTCCCAGGTTCGTCCTGTGAATCTGCAACCATATCCATCACCGCAGGAAGAGCCATCAATCCATTGGATCCCTCTGAGCTGCTGTTCCCAAAAGTTGCAGTACTTGGGCTCGCCGAAGACGCCATTGTACTGTGTAGGTTATCGTTCCTTTATTGTCCCTGTACCCGCAATAAACCAGCTGTCTCCCAGTCCAGTGTAGAGCTTGTAGTTACGGCTGATAACCTGTCAAGAGACGGCAAGGTGACGTCCCGTGGGACGCTATGCACCGAACCCTCAAGCTGTAATACCAACCACGTAGAAAGGTGTATACGGACGATGCCGTTATAGCCGAACCCGTGTAAACGTTGTAAGGGAGAAGGAATGATAGTTACAACAGTGGTCCTGACAAATGCAGCGCAAGCAAAGTTTTCGCTCTCAATGCCGATCACGTATGTATGCAGTCACACATCAGATCTTGAACCTCAATTGTGTCTTGAGCCAAATGGCGATCAATGGAACTTGGGAAGCAACACCAACAAGGACCTCAGAACAGCTACCCAATTTCGGCACGGGGCCTAGAGGGTTTTAACATTACCAAACGAGAAGTGCCATTTCTACCCAGTCTGGGTAGGTATCATGAATAAAGGCTCTGCAATAAGCAGCGTAGTGTTGTGGAGCATGTTCAAACTATTAAGGCCCTGATCAAGAGGGATAATAATGTTGTTTGGTCCTTTATATTGCAAATGTTGCGCGATTATTTTCCCCTGCTTCCCTTCTCCGGGGGGGGGGGGGGGGTAGTTTTTGGTAGTGGTGGTCATGTTTTTGCGGCCTTCATACAAAAAGTGCAGATACAGGGTAAACCTAGATGCTCATACCCCGCTTGTGGTCTGGCTTGGAATAGCTTGGTAGTGCTCTGCTGCTCATTGGTGAGTCAAAGCCGCGCCAACAGCCGGCGCTCGCTCACTCCCAGCCGTCTCCGATGAGCAGACCCGGGCAGGACCCGATGGCCGCGCAGAACTGAACCTCCTTCAGCTGGCAGTGCTCCTCACCGGAAGCCCGACAGACCGATTGAGTTTATAGGTTTCCTTTGTGTCCTTGAAATATTTAGGGCATCCCCCAAGCCTTGGTGATGCCGACCGCGCATTCACAAACCGTTTCTGTTAATAGGGGGGTTGCGGCCCCTCCAAAAGCGAGCTGAATCCACCAACAAAAAATGGGACATCTTGAAGGTAGTGACCCTCACCCTCCAGGGAAGCGCAACACTAAGAAAAACACCGTTGACGAGGGTTGAATTTCACTCTGTCTGGAACTAGACTAGACTGGAAGAATCCTCATCTGAAAAAACTGGATCCACACTCCAACGAGACTTGCTTCCCTACGCCAAAGGTCCCGCACTTTAGAGTCGAAGCCACGTTGCCAAAAACATGAAACTTAAAATGGGATGATTCCCTCAGCTGCCACAGGTGCAGTACAGGGATGAGTGGCCGGCAAACTGGACGGCTCCGCAAGGCGACCTTGGCCGTGGTGGGCAATTTTGGTTGATCAACCATCTGCAAATGTGAAGAAGGAAGACCCCAGGAGCAGGATTAATCGATTCATTCATGAATAGGGTGGTGACGATTCCAAAGAAAACCCCTCCCAACTCTCCTTATCATGCACCAGGTTGATCAATACGGAGTCGACATCTGAAACTAAGATTTGACCCACACCTGAAGTACACAGAGACTAAGACTGTCTGATTCTGCTTCGTATTTAGTCTATTCTGAACAAAAGAGATTCTGTTTTATACTTGCCATCCTGATTCATACATAGTAGATTGAGGTCTCCCATACTCTACTCTGATTCTGCTTCCTACTTACTCTACCTCGGTTGCTTTCTGCTCCCCTGCTAAAAGTTTATTTTTTAGTGGTTTAATGGAAACACACATTAGTTGGCAAAAAGTTAAAGTCCTAACATCCCTTTTGGCAAAATGCACCTCTGCTACTTTTGGGGGAGACCTCGGCCAGTTGCCCCGCTGCAAGCCAACGCTCAGGGAAGCCACATCGACACGAACCCGCTCGCTCCATGACCGCCAGCAGCAGCGCCAGCTTGGGGATGATGAAGCCCGGGGGCTCACGCAGCTCCCCTGCGGTTGGGCTGGGAGGCAAACGGTTTCGGCAGCCACGGTGGATGCCAAACAGCGAGAAGGATGGAATCCACTGACAAGGCTCCTACTAGGTCCTCCAGTCGAGAGGATAGAATAAGGGTACCCTTTTTCTGTAGTCTATTTTAGTAGGGAGCCCTCTCCACAAAAAGGGTAAAAAGGCCCTACTGGGGGACCTAGCCTAATATCTTCGCCCACCCCGGCCAAAAGGAAACTCAGCTACAATTGGCTCAAAAAGTGATGTTGAATCCGGTGGCCGCCCCTGCCATAGTGCGCAAGTACACAAGAAGCTTTCTTGACCCCCTTTCCCACATTCCTGACGAACCACATACCCCTTCTTCTCAGAGCTTTAAGCAGCTTAAAGGCTTGCCTTGAAAAAATAAGGCAAGGGTCAGACTGGCGACGAAGGGGGACTTCACTCAAGACTCAAGGTTTCTCCCTTCGAAGTAGCTTCGACCAGCTTTATGGATATTAGACGTAGCTCTACAAACTAGTTGAAAAGGGGCATGTATGTCCCCCTTTCGAATTAGCCCAAGAAGGAGATTCCATTGCTTAAGGGGCCCACCCCGTCCAGAAAAAGGAGAAGAAAAAAAAAGCGGAGGCCTTTGGACGAGGGAGGCCTGTTTGTCGGGATAAAGCTCTTAAATTCTTGTGAAGGGTTGATACTGTGGATGGACGAAATCCATTTCGCACCACCTGAGAAACCCGGGAATCATGATTCCCTTGTAAATACCAACCACCACAGTGGTGCAGGTTTTCTATGGTTTCTAAGTGGTGCAGGATTTCGTCCATCCACAGTAGTTCATAGCCTCCCCTTCACCAACCATCGTTGGGTTCTCTGCCATGGACGCATTTCGTGGTGCGAGAAGCAAACGGATTTCGAAACCATCCACGGTAGCCGCTACTAGCTGCTCTTGAAGGTGCATGAAAGTATATAAAATCGAGATATGTCCAGTAGTGATGGATTCCGTTTAAAACCAACTGACAAACAACATGTTGCGGAAAAGGCGAAAATATTTATAGCATTCCCTTTGAAACCAACGTGGAGGGGGAAAAGAAACACGAAGGAAACCACCAGCCCCGCACCGCAAGTGCACCCGCTTCTCCTTGGCAGAAGGCCCGCGTCATCAGCTCCTCGTCCGTGAGACCCAGCAGCTCCCCCAGCACCGCGCGGATGTCGTGGGCCTGGTAGCTGCGCCTCTCCAGCGCCTGGCGGCCGGAGGTGTGTGGAGGCACCTGGGTCAAAAACCCCAAACTGTTGCCCAAGCAGGAGAAGCTGAGTGTAGGTTGAGTTGCACACAAGTTGCAAACCCTGTACCTCACCATGTTTTGGTCAGCTTGCTATACGGCGTTGCTCACTGAAAAAAATGGGCACCGGTTGGGGGATCATCAACACACATGTGCAAAGGTGGGCAAGCTCCCCTCCAACATAGTGGGTTCATAGCTTCCTCAAGCCTGGGGACCCATATGGGTTGCTTCGTGTGGGTTGCCTCAACCAAGACTCCGAAAAAGACATCTTCAAATAACAACCCTTTGATTCCACCTAGTCAAACAGATGGTTCTACAATCCATGGTTGTTTAAGTCCCAAAGAGCGTTGTAACCATGCTCACTTCCTGAGTGGCTTGGAAGTACCAAAATACTCCAAACCCAAAAAAAAGCCCAAATCTCCAGAAACTCAGGACGTGAGCGCATGGCATACCCTGCCTTAGCTAGTCCGAGCGGCCTCCACTCTTGTCACCTCGGCCCTGTGACCAGGCCTCGGAAGCGACACAGAACATGGAGTTGGGGCCCCCGATGGCCGTCACCTCGCCTGGCGCAGAGTCAGTCCCATTCAGTCCCCCCTGGCTATTCTTCCGAAGCTGTCATTGCGAGTTAGGTGATTCTTCTGCACACAGCGCGCGAGGAGGACTGGGACAAGAACCCAAAAAGGCATATTTGCATGTTCGGCCAAGTTAGTAAGCTATTGGCAACCTTCCGCTTTGCTAGTCTCCCCAAGTGGAGTTGAGCTTGTTATTGGCGGGCTATAACCCAGGTTGGCTATATAACCACGTACTAATTCGCGGAAACGGTCCTTACAGCATCTTACAGCCTGTTTAAAAGCAAATTTGGATACCCTCAGCTCCGAGTCCGGCTCCCTTCCAACAGCTGGGTGAACATCCAAGTACCCTGCGGGCAAACAGTGTCTCCCTATCCCTTCCTTCGGGGAAAGTCCCCCAATTCATTTTTCCTAGTATTCCGCACGGGGAAAATGGAACCGCACATGGAATTCATGTTTGAGGGGGCTGGGGATGTTGCCCATTGAGACCGGTACCCGGGCACCCCAAGCGCCTCCCTGGAGCCAGCTGGGGGTCTCAGAGAGCTTCTCCTTCAGCTGCACCAGCAGCTCATCCTCGGTGTCTCATCGGAGCTGCTGGCAGGAAATCAACACAGCACAAGCCAGCCGGCGAAAGCATCGCCCTGAGCCCACAAACATATGGGTCAGCTTTGGCCGAAATCGATGGATTTCCCTGGTAGGGTCCAGGTCAACCAGGAATCCCCCTCCATCTTCAAGCAAAAAAAAACACAACTGGACACCTATGCCCACGGCAAGTACCAACAAAAATGCCCTGCGCCCCCCGGGCGCTTTCGACGGGTTTCGCCCGAGCCGAGGCGCTGCCTCCTGGGAGGTGACGGGGTTGGGGGAGCTCTTCGTCGACAAGCTGTGGCCCTGGACCTCCACCTGGAGGCGTCCACTCGAAGACTCGAAGTCGAGCCGGCGGTCAATGGGTGGGAACAAAAACTTCCGTTTTTTGGAACCAAGGTGGACTGAAACCCGGGGTAGAGGTGTCGACCTTTAGTCGCAAAATGGAACCCTGGCAAGGTGTCTTCGAGTTGTCGGGTCTGGGAAATAGACTCCTTTGGCGCCACGGGCGCTTCCGAAATCGGAAGCTCGGTTGCCTTGGCGATTTGGCCAACACTGGTCCAAGCTGTTGGTGTACCACTAAATCGGTCTTTGCAAAAGAAGAGAGTAGGAAGTGCAGACACTTGGGAAGTAAGCCTGAGACGTCCTGGAGAGGCCTCATGTGAAACTCCAAATGAATCAAGCTGGCAGATTCATAGGGGGGCCCTGGCAAAAAAGAACAGTTTCACTATGGGGACATCTCTTGTTAAACAGCGAATCCGCCTGGGTTCTGATTAGATGCAATATTGAACTTGGCCCTGCTGCTGCGAAGGAACCTGGCAAAGCTGGAAATCCGGAAGGCCACATCAACTCTGAGTTTGATCCGTGCTAATGGCGAGAATCGCTTACCCACCCTTCATTCAGCTGCTTTGAACAGCGCAAGGTCAACACTATGCGACCCACCCACCCCACGGACCTACCTCAAGGCGCGATCGGGTACTTAGTAAGGTTAGTAAGCCTGGTGAGAAAAACAAGCACTGAACGGAGACTTATCACCATGGCTTTTGTGTTTTGTTTCCTTCCACCAGGCTTTCTAACCACTCACCCGACGTACCGAATCCATCGCCCCAAGGCCCCCAAGGCCCCCCCCATGCCCCGTCAGAACCCATATATAGTTTTCAGCTGGGGAAAAAATATCACGGTCAATATTTATGCCACCCACCCCCCCGACCCACCGACCCACCCCACGTCCACCATCCCAAGGCCCCCACCAACCCCATCCCCACGTCTCGGCCCAGGCGCCAGCATGGAGGTGACCACCCCGGTGCCCAGGTTCCCCAGGTAGCCCCGCAGCCCCTCCTCCCCCCGCGCGGTGATCTGGAAGCTGGCGCCTGGAAAGGAGGCGGAAGCAAAACGCGGGGGGGGGGGGGGGGCCGGACCCGGTGCATGACTTGGTTCTCTGTGTTGCAACGACCCCTCGGCAAAAAGTGTTTTTGTTTTTATACTAAAAAAAACTGTTTGTGGGTTTAGTGGAAAACCCAACTTGATTTCAACCAAAAAGTGAAAAAGTCTAAGATCCAACCCATTAGCAGTCAAGTCTTGTGCGGCATGAACAGAGAAAACATGAACAAAGGAACATGTCTTTGGTCTGAAGTGCCACCTGCAAACTGTGCCTATGTTGCTCCCTGACGCGCAGGGCGCATGGCTAGAGAAGTGAGTTGATCAGAGTCGGCTGCTGGCGGAGGCTTGAAGTTGTGCAATTCACAGCGTGCCTGCTCAACCCCCTCATTATTATTACTGTTATGCAGAACTTGCACTCAGCCATTGTACAGTATGACATTTCACCCCACCCTCACCGAGCTTAACTGTCGGCTGGTTGCAAGGGCGAAAAAACGGAAACTACAAAGGCACGAAGCCAAAAATTGCCAGTTGAGTCTGGCATAAACCGCCAACTCCCAAAAAAAAAGCCTTCCCCGCAAGCCGCCCCACACCCAAAACCATCTCCCACCCCCCACCTTCCCCCCACATCTCCCACCCCCACGGCCCCACCACCACCCAACCCCGACCCCCACCCAAACCCCCACCACCCCACCCCACCCCACCCCGCCTCCCGAGTCCCAGCAGATCACGGACTCCCGGCCCGACAAAGCCACGGCGGTGCGAAAGCCGACCTCCGCCTCCTGGTGCTGCGTGAGGACCTCGCAGCAGGCTGACGAACCACCCGCTCACCCGATTCCATTTGGTTAAGACCCCTGGAAAATATAAAAACAAAATGTGCAGTAGTGATAAAATCCGAACCAACGCCAGCCTAAGCCTTTGCACCCTTCAGGCAGCTGTGCGAGGCATTCTCCGGCACCCACCAATGCAATGCAGTGACGCACGCCGCATTTGACAATCACTCATTTAGACTAGCAGCTCCACAAGGCCCAACACGCCATCCTTTTTGGGCCCCTCTCCCATCCCAGTTGAAAAGGAATGGGAGCCCTTGAGTCGACTCGATTTTGAGTGGAACCATCAGGGTTGAACCGACCAAACCAAACTGAGCTACCAACAAACTACCCCGTGTTGCTACCCCCGGGGGTAGCATACCAACAAACTACCAACAAACTGGGGGGTAGCAAACTGAGCTCAAGAACTTCCGGGGTATCCACCAAACTGAGCTCTTGAGCCTTTCGCCCTTCCAGGCTGCTGCGCTCCCTCGGCCCTTGACCACAGCGCTGGCTATGCCAACACATGGCGTCGAATTTGCGGAAGGAAAGACTGCCCCACCACACGCGACAAAAAAACAGCAACCATGCAAAAAAAACAAAAACAATACATGGGAGGGCAAAGGCCCCCACTTGCGGGATCTCTTTTGAATGCGTCGCTTGATTTTACCAAGCGTCCCCAACACCTGAGTTTCAAATCCCCAGCCCCCATGAAGTGCTCCACAAAGCCTGCGAGCAGCAACTGTTTGGCATCCCCGCCATATTGTCGAAGGAATTCGGATTCGGTCCGCGATAAGGCTGATGGCAGCTTTGCCGTCATGTTGACTGCTGACAGAACTGCCAGCCGCCTTGCCAGGCGTTCATAGCTGTAAGAGAATACGCGCGGACAGTTGGCAATCAGCACTAAGACGGCCAATTCTGAAAAATTCAAGCCAAGCAACTTAAGTTTGGGTTTCAAGTTCTGCTCAATGCTTAAGCCCAAAACCTGCGGGAAGCCAGCCACAACCCTTGCAAGCTTGGCCTGGCTCAAACCCAAGCCAAGCAGCCAACCTGCTGTGGGCTTCAAGTTCTGCTCAATGCTGTAACCCAAAATGGCAGGGAAGCCAGCCACAACCCTTGCAAGCTGGGCCTGGCTCAAGCCCAAGCCAAGAATCCAATCAGTCGTAGGCTGCAAGTTCTGCTCAATGCTGCAACCCAAAATGGAAGGGAAAGCAGACACAACCTTTGCAAGCTGGGCCTGGCTCAAGCCCAAGCCAAGAATCCAATCAGTTGTAGGCTTCAAGTTCTGCTCGATGCTGTAACCCAAAACTTGCGGATGGCCAGCCACGACCTTTGCCAGTTGGGACTGGCTCAAGCCCAAGCCAAGAATCCAATCAGTTGTAGGCTTCAAGTTCTGCTCGATGCTGTAACCCAGAATTTGCGGCTTGCTGGCCACGACCTTTGCAAGCTGGGCCTGGCTCAAGCCCAAGCCAAGAATCCAATCAGTCGTAGGCTGCAAGTTCTGCTCAATGCTGCAACCCAAAATGGAAGGGAAAGCAGACACGACCTTTGCAAGCTGGGCCTGGCTCAAGCCCAAGCCAAGAATCCAACCAGTTGTAGGCTTCAAATTCTGCTCGATGCTGTAACCCAAAACTTGCGGATGGCCAGCCACGACCTTTGCCAGTTGGGACTGGCTCAAGCCCAAGCCAAGAATCCAATCAGTTGTAGGCTTCAAGTTCTGCTCGATGCTGCAACCCAGAATTTGCGGCTTGCTGGCCACGACCTTTGCAAGCTGGGCCTGGCTCAAGCCCAAGCCAAGAATCCAATCAGTCGTAGGCTGCAAGTTCTGCTCAATGCTGCAACCCAAAATGGAAGGGAAAGCAGACACGACCTTTGCAAGCTGGGCCTGGCTCAAGCCCAAGCCAAGAATCCAACCAGTTGTAGGCTTCAAGTTCTGCTCGATGCTCAATCCCAAAATGGAAGGGAAAGCAGCCACGACCTTTGCAAGCTGGGCCTGGCTCAAGCCCAAGCCAAGAATCCAATCAGCTGTAGGCTGCAAGTTCTGCTCAATGCTGCAACCCAAGACTTGCGGAGAGCCAGCCACGACCTTTGCAAGCTGGGCCTTGCTCAAGCCCAAGCCAAGGATCCAATCAGCTGTAGGCTTCAAGTTCTGCTCGATGCTGTAACCCAGGATTTGCGGGTTGCTGGCCACAACCTTTGCCAGCTGGGCCTGACTCAAGCCCAAGCCAAGGATCCAATCAGCTGTAAGCTGCAAGTTCTGCTCAATGCTGCAACCCAAAATGGAAGGGAAAGCAGACACGACCTTTGCAAGCTGGGCCTGGCTCAAGCCCAAGCCAAGAATCCAACCAGTTGTAGGCTTCAAGTTCTGCTCGATGCTCAATCCCAAAATGGAAGGGAAAGCAGCCACGACCTTTGCAAGCTGGGCCTGGCTCAAGCCCAAGCCAAGAATCCAATCAGTCGTAGGCTTCAAGTTCTGCTCAATGCTGTAACCCAGAATTTGCGGCTTGCTGGCCACAACCTTTGCAAGCTGGGACTGGCTCAAGCCCAAACCAAGCAGCCAGTCTGCCGTGGGCTTCAAGTTCTGCTCGATGCTGTAACCCAAAACTTGCGGAAAGCCAGCCACGACCTTTGCAAGCTGGGCCTGGCTCAAACCCGAGCCAAGCAGCCAGTCTGCGTTAGGTGTCAACCTGTCCCCGGGGGTTAATCTAAAAATGCGCGGTTGTCCAGCCAAGACTTTCTTAATTTGGACCTTGCTCATGCCTCGCTCCTCCAACCACAACAGCATCGGATCCAGCTGCTCTTCAATGCTGAGACCCGCCAACACGACTTTGCTCCAACAATCTTCTCCAATGCCAAAGCCCCGGACTGCCAGAAAGCATTCTATCTCTTCCGTGGTGTTGCCCTGCGTGACTCCTGAACTTGCAAAATCCCGTGCGCTGACCGACAGTTCCGCACCTCGTTCCGCCGCTTGCCGTCTCCAAACACTCCCACGAAGGACGCCTCGCATACCAACATAGATCTGTCGCATGAGCTCTTCCAGCGTCGCCAGGAGCGACGCTTGGTCGCCGCTGCGCCAAGTGCCCACTGTGAGCCACAGCACTCTTTCCTGCGGCTGCACGTCCTCAAGCGCAGCATGGTTGATACGCACCACATAGGATCCCTCAGGCGCGTATGCCAGCAGCGCGGCGTTTTTCGCGGAGTCCAAGGCAACCCCCTCCTCTTCCGCATGCCTCCAATACCTGATCGAAGGCGGGTGGGCAAGGCCAGTACACAAGGACCAAGGAGTCACTGTGCATAGCATGCGGCTGCAAGGGGGAAAAGTGCCCGTGATGTCCTTCGCACCCTGAAATCCGAGTGGCAATTGGCGCTCGGGTCCGAAGAAGCAGATGCCCAGCTTCAAGGGAACACGAGAACGACCCACACATTTCTGAAGGCCCGAATACCTTGCCATCCACAGAGTGGAATCCTTTGGAATAAACCACGCAGGACGGACCTTTGGCACAGGGTTCCCCAGAATTTCCGCAAAAGCAAAAGTACAAGATACCCTTCACTTCCACCCAAAGAATGGAATCTACCAGGTGGTCCAACACGGTTCCCTCCGTTGCCCCCGTAAAAGCAGGCGACTTCACTTCTGACTTTCTGAGGCGCCCGTCGTACTCCACGAAGAGCGCGGCCTCCGGGTCTTTCAGCACCCCGTACATCGCCAGATCCGGCTCCAGGTAGTTCCCGCCCCAATTCTCCGGCGACGGGAAGCGCCGGAACAGCTCCTGGCATTTTGACAGGGTCCATTGAAGTGACATTCCGAATATGACCCTCCAGATGGTGAGCAAAAGATAAAAGGGAACCACAAGGACCCAGCATCTTTTGGACATCCTCAAACTGAGCCTGAGTGGTGGTTCAATCCTCGAAACGGCACATAGAACGGCATTGGCGTTACACGTCCAGAAAGGAGACTATTGGGACTGCTTGCGAGTTGAAATCTGAAGCATCCCAATTGTGTGAGCGCGCAGGAGAACTGCTGCTTTTTTGACAAAGTATTAAACCTCTCTTGGCTAACCTGCAGAGACGCTACGCAACCTTCAACACACCCATATTACGAAACCCCAACCCATCTGACACCACACCAGTCGTGAAACGTCGCGGCGCAAATCAAGTCGTCTCCTTGAGCTCGGCTTTGGGCTGCAGCCGCGCCGCCAGCTGCGCCAAGAGCTCCGCCTCCGCCACGCTGCCCGGGCGCTTGGCGCGGCCCCGGCGCCACCACGCCGGCGCCAGCGAGGCGAAGCCGGCAGCGGACGCGCCGAGGCAGGCGAGGCAGAGGGCGAGGAAGACGAGGACGGCCGGGGCTCGTCGTTTCCGCAAAGGCGGAGGGAACGGCATGGCGTGGGCTGGCCCGCAAAGCTGCAAACTAACAGAAGGAAAGCGGTGGAAACCTAAGGAGCGCCATCATCTCAAGGCATTTGGCTCAACAACTGGGTGATATCGACTGCGACATTTCACACACCGGCAGTACATTGGAGTCCTTGGGTGGTTCCCGTGTCTTACTAATGAGAACCTACCAAATCAAAAAGTTCCCACTCAACTCTTGGGATTCCAGCTCTGTGGGCAAGCCCGCTGAGTTGCGTGCAGCCTGTGCAACATTTTTCGGAGCGCGGTTGTCAAAGTACTGGACCAGACACGCCACTGCCGGATGTGCGAGACCGTCTTCACGTTCTGGCCAATCCACAAGCAAAGCAAACATTCGGCAAACAAGGTGTCAAATTGTTGCAACATCACGCCACTATGGCGAGCGGCCATAGTGGACACTGTCAGAGTTTGCTTCTACCCTCCGGCAAACATGTGCAAACTTGGCGTACTTCAACCGAGCGTAAGCGCAACACGGTCTTCAGCAAGCCTTCAGCAATCAAGCAGCCAGACGGGCCCTTGACCGCAGCATTGGCCAACACATTGCGCCAACTTTGCAGAAAGACCGAACACCGCATATGCCAAACAAGCGAAAACACGTCGAACCCTGGAAGGGTAAAGGCAAACAAGCGACAACACGTCGAACCCTGGAAGGGTAAAAAGAAAATCCCCCATATGGGGAGATATCTGTTTTGAATGCGCCACTTGATTTCGCCCAAGGGTCCCAAACAAAGAAGGGCGTCCTGTGATTTCACACCCCCTGCCGCCCATAAAGTGCAGCACCAGCCTGCTAGAAGCAACTTTTTGGCATCCCCGCCATATCTTGCACGGAATTCGGCTTCAGTCCGCGTTAGAGCTGATGGCAGCTTTGCTGTCATGCTGGCTGCTGACAGAACCGCTAGCCGGCTTGTCAAGCGTTGATAGCTGTAAGAAACCACGCGCGGACACTTGGCGATCAGCTCTAAGACAGCCAATTCTGAAAACTCCATGCTAAGCAACTCAAGTTTGGGCTTCAAGTTTTGCTCAACGCTGTAACTCAAAATGTGCGGATGGTCAGCCACCACCTTTGCAAGCTGGGCCTGGCTCAAGCCCAAGCCACGAATCCAGTCAGCAGTCGGCCTCAAGTTCTGCTCGATGCTTAAACCCAGAATTTTCGGATGGCCAGCCACAACCTTTGCAAGCTGGGCCTGGCTCAAGCCCAAGCCAAGAATCCAATCAGTCGTAGGCTGCAAGTTCTGCTCAATGCTGAAGCTGGGCCAAAATGTGGGCTGCAAGGCTCAATGCTGCCACGACCTTTGCAAGCTGGGCCTGGCTCAAGCCCAAGCCAAGAATCCAACCAGTCGTAGGCTTCAAGTTCTGCTCGATGCTGTAAACCCAAAATGGAGGGAAAGCTGCCACGACCTTTGCAAGCTGGGCCTGGCTCAAGCCCAAGCCAAGAATCCAACCAGTTGTAGGCTTCAAGTTCTGCTCGATGCTGTAGCCCAGAATTTGAGGCTTGCTGGCCACGACCTTTGCAAGCTGGGCCTGGCTCAAGCCCAAGCCAAGAATCCAACCAGTTGTAGGCTTCAAGTTCTGCTCGATGCTGTAGCCCAGAATTTGAGGCTTGCTGGCCACGACCTTTGCAAGCTGGGCCTGGCTCAAGCCCAAGCCAAGAATCCAACCAGTTGTAGGCTTCAAGTTCTGCTCGATGCTGTAGCCCAGAATTTGAGGCTTGCTGGCCACGACCTTTGCAAGCTGGGCCTGGCTCAAGCCCAAGCCAAGGATCCAGTCAGTCGTAGGCTTCAAGCTCTGCTCGATGCTGCAACCCAAAATGACAGGGAAAACTGCCACGACCTTTGCAAGCTGGGCCTGGCTCAAGCCCAAGCTAAGCGGCCAATCTGCTCTTGGCTTTAATGTGTCCTCAATGCTTGATCTAAACATGTGCGGTTTGTTAGCCAAGAGCTTTGCAAGCTGCATCTTGCTGAAGCCGCGCCCCTCCAACCACAGCAGCATCGGATCCAGCTGTTCTTCAATGCTCAGACTCACCAAGACTGTGTTCCAACAATGTTCTTCAATATCATATCCCCGCATCGCCAGAAAGCGTCTTATCTCTTGTGTACTGTTGCCCTGCGTGGCTTCTGAACTTGCAAAGTCTCGCGCCCTGATTGACAGCGCCCCACTTTCCTCCCTTGTACCACGGGTCAGTCGTCTCTTAATGCTCCGGCGCAGCACGCATTGCAAACCAGCAGAAATCTGATGCGTGAGCTCTTCCAACATCGCAAGGAGCGACGAGTCGTCACCGCTGCGCCAAGTGCTCACTGTCAACCACAGCACGTTATCCTGCGGCCGCACGTCCTTGAGTGCAGCATGGTTTATACGCACCACATACGATCCCTCAGGCGCGTATGCCAGAAGCGCCGCGTTCTTTGCAGCGTCCAAAGCAATCCCCTCCTCTTCCGCATGCCTCCAATACCTGGGCAGCGCTAGCGGGGCGTAAGCTCAAGAGCAAGGGGCAAGCGTGAAGAGCGCCCGAGACAACATTCTGCCAGTGATAAACTGCGAGAAATATCATCCACCAACTGACGTGGATGGAACCCACCAGAAGGTCCCTTTAAGAGAGCAGGCGAGACGGCAAGCGTGGGTAAATGTTGGAAACGATCCGACCGGTGGTCCCTAAATCTTGATTAGAAAACCTGTGTGTGGTGTTGCCGCGTGGTTGCATCCTCGGGATGGAATCGGATAGAAATTAATCAGCAAGTAGAAGCGTGCAATCTCTGGGTGACATATGACGACGCTTAAAGACCCTTCCGACAACACGGCCCGACCTCGCATATGGGTGTGGCTCAAAATTTAAGAGCCAGGGTTACGCAGGTTTTAGTCTTTGGTTCCATTTACCAAGGTGCCATTTTGGGTCCCTATTTTTGAGCCACAGCCATATGTGACCAAGGCGCCCGTCGTACTCCACGAAGAGGGCAGCTTCTGGGTCTCTCAGCACCCCGTGCATCGCCAGGTCCGGCTCCAGGTAGTGCCCTCCCCAATTCTCCGGCGACGGGAAGCGCCGGAACAGCTCCTGGCATTTTGACAGGGTCCATTGAAGTGACATTCCGAATATGACCCTCTAAATGGCGAGCAAAAGTTTAAAGGGAACCACAAGGTTCCGAGCCCCATTCAGAATGCGACTGCTACAGCGAAGTGGTGATTTGAAGGAAAAACTGCTGGACATCCTCCAGCACAGCCGTTCAAACGAACTCCTTCGATTGGTCTGTGATTTCCCGCCTGCCCCCTGGTTCATGGAGACATGTCCATCCGTGGCTCACTTGCTCGCCGCAGCCACTTAAACTAACACCTTTGAGCCCATGTCTCCCATCTTCCCGCCCAAACAATGCACAACTCAAGAGCTGGAAAATCCTTGAAGTGGCGCTTTTGCAATTGAAACTTGAAACACCCTGTGGCCTAACAAGTTCAAAGCCTGAAAACCCACACGTGCCGCAAAGGAAGTCATGCTAAAGACTCCTGCAACCAGACCCAACCCACTGCACCAAGTCGTGCAACGTCAGAGGGAAAAAGCAACTCATCTGGCGCGGCACAAGTCGCGAAACACGCAGGGCAACGCACATCAAGTCGTCTCCTTTTGAGCTCGGCTTTGGGCTGCAGCCGCACCGCCAGCTGCGCTAAGAGCTCCGCCTCCGCCACGCTGCCCGGGCGCTTGGCGCGGCCCCGGCGCCACCACGCCGGCGCCAGCGAGGCGAAGCCGGCAGCGGACGCGCCGAGACAGGCGAGGCAGAGGGCGAGGAAGCCGAGGACGGTCGGGGCTTGCCGTTTCCGCAAAGGCGGAGGGAGCGGCATGGCTCGGGTAGGCCCGCAAAGCTGCAAAGTAACAGATGGAAAGCGTTGAATCGTAAGGAGTGCCATCATCTCAAGGCATTTGACTCAACAACTGGGCGATATCGATTGCCACATTTTGCGTTCTGCCAGAGCCTGCCTCACAGCTGCCTTGAGGGGGCAAGTGCCCAGGCTGGCAAGCTGTAGGGCAGCGGAATTCCCCTAGTCCCAACGGGGCCAACGGCCCTCATAAGGCTCAACAAAAAGCCACCTGTGCGACGGTGAAAAAGGAACCATCTTCCAGGTTGACCGTGCTTAGTGGGGACCTAATGAAATGGATCCAGTGAAAAAGAATTGCACACTCTTGGAACCGCCCTTCAGACAGCTCCCTGGGCAAGCCGCCCAGTTGCGTGCAGCCCTTGCAACATCTTCGGAGCGCATGTGTCAAAGTACCAGACACGCCACTGCCTGATGTGCGCGAAAGAACGTCTTCACGTTCTGGCCAATCCACCAAAGCCAGCCAACATGCAGCAAACAAGGTGTCAACATGTTGCAACATCACGCCACTATGGCGAGGGGCAAACAGGGTGCTGTCAGAGTTTGCTTCTACCCTCCGTAGTGGGCAAACATGGCGTACTTCAACCGAGCGTACGCGAAACACAGTCTTCAACAAGCCTTCAGCAATCAAGCAGCCAGACGGGCCCTTGACCACAGCACTGGCCAACACATTGCGCCAACTTTGCAGGAAGACTGAGCGCAGCACATGCCAAACAAGCGAGAACACGTCGAACCCTGGAAGGGTAAAGAGAACCCCCCATCTCGGCAGATATCTTTATTGAATGCGCTACTTGATATCGCCCAAAAGTCCTGTGATTTCACCCCTCCCCTGCAGCCCATGACGTGCAACACCAGCCTGCTAAGCAGCAACTTTTTGGCATCCCCGCCGTACTGTCGAAGAAATTCGGATTCAGTCCGCGTTAGTGCTGCTGGCAGCTTTGCTGTCATGTTGGCTGCTGACAGAACTGCCAGACGACTTGTCAGGCGTTGATAGCTATAACCAAACACGCACGGACACTTGGCGATCAGCTCTAAGAAAGCCAATTCAGAAAATTGCAAGCCAAGCAATTTAAGTTTGGGCTTCAAGTTCTGCTCAATCCTCAATCCCAAACTGGGTGGAAAGCCAGCTACAACCTTTGCAAGCTGGGCCTGGCTCAAGCCCAAGCCAAGAATCCAGTCTGCCGTAGGCTTCAAGTTCTGCTCGATGCTCAATCCCAAAATTGGTGGAAAGCCAGCCACGACCTTTGCAAGCTGGGCCTTGCTCAAGCCCAAGCCAAGAATCCAGTCAGTCGTAGGCTTCAAGTTCTGCTCGATGCTGTAACCCAGAATTTGCGGTTTGCTGGCCACGATCTTTGCAAGCTGGGCCTGGCTCAAGCCCAAGCCAAGCATCCAATCAGTCGTAGGCTGCAAGTTCTGCTCAATGCTGCAACCCAAGACTTGCGGAGAGCCAGCCACGACCTTTGCAAGCTGGGCCTTGCTCAAGCCCAAGCCAAGGATCCAATCAGCTGTAGGCTTCAAGTTCTGCTCGATGCTGTAACCCAGGATTTGCGGGTTGCTGGCCACAACCTTTGCCAGCTGGGCCTGACTCAAGCCCAAGCCAAGGATCCAATCAGCTGTAGGCTGCAAGTTCTGCTCAATGCTGCAACCCAAGACTTGCGGAGAGACAGCCACGACCTTTGCAAGCTGGGCCTTGCTCAAGCCCAAGCCAAGGATCCAATCAGCTGTAGGCTGCAAGTTCTGCTCAATGCTGCAACCCAGGATTTGCGGGTTGCTGGCCACAACCTTTGCCAGCTGGGCCTGACTCAAGCCCAAGCCAAGGATCCAATCAGCTGTAGGCTTCAAGTTCTGCTCGATGCTGTAACCCAGGATTTGCGGGTTGCTGGCCACAACCTTTGCCAGCTGGGCCTGACTCAAGCCCAAGCCAAGGATCCAATCAGCTGTAGGCTTCAAGTTCTGCTCAATGCTGCAACCCAGGATTTGCGGAGAGCCAGCCACGACCTTTGCAAGCTGGGCCTGGTTCAAGCCCAAGCCAAGGATCCAATCAGCTGTAGGCTGCAAGTTCTGCTCAATGCTGCAACCCAAGACTTGCGGAGAGCCAGCCACGACCTTTGCAAGCTGGGCCTGACTCAAGCCCAAGCCAAGGATCCAATCAGCTGTAGGCTTCAAGTTCTGCTCAATGCTGTAACCCAGGATTTGTGGATAGCCAGCCACGACCTTTGCAAGCTGTTCCTGGCTCAAGCCCAAACCAATCAGCCAACCTGCTGTGGGCCTTAAGGTGTCCTCAATGCTTAATCTAAAGATGCGTGGTGTTCCAGCCAACACCTTTTGAATTTGGACCTTGCTCAAGCCTTGTTCCTCCAACCACAGCAGCATCGGATCCAGCTGTTCTTCAATGCTCAGACTCACCAAGACCACTTTGTTCCAACAATGTTCTCCAATATCATATCCTCGCATCACCAGGAAGCGTCCTATCTCTTCCGTGCTGTTGCCCCGTGCAGCAGCTGAAATTGAAAACTCCCGTGCCCGGATCGAAAAGGCCCCACCTCCGTTTTCCACACCAGGGGTTTGCTGTCTCAACACACTCACACGGAGAACGCCTCGCATACCAACAAATATCTGTCGTATGAGGTCCTCCAGCGTCGCCAGGAGCGACGCTTGGTCGCCGCTGCGCCAAGTGCCCACTGTGAGCCACAGCACGTTTTCCTGCGGCTGCACGTCCTCAAGCGCAGCATGGTTGATACGCACAACATAGGATCCCTCAGGCGCGTATGCCAGCAGCGCCGCGTTTTTCGCGGTGTCCAAGGCGATCCCCTCCTCTTCCGCATGCCTCCAATACCTGAGCAGTGCTAGCGGTGGGGATTAAATCGCCTGCTAAGCACTGTGCCCTTTCCAAAACACATATGTTTGTGTGCGGTACTCATACCGAAAACGAGGTGCTTGCTCTGCCACTGAAAGTTATAGACAACACCGCGGGGCCAGCAAAGTCAATCGTTCCGGCAAACAAACATGTGAGAGGAAATCGAATTGCAAAACTGCAATTTGTTGATGGCAGTTTAACCGAGGCCAGCCCCCTTTTCTGCAAATGTTCCTGGCAATCACCATGGCAGGCAGGGGCAGAAGCCATGACCATGGCACTATACCGTTGAAAGGGCAAACGCTCTGCACACATGATTGGTCATGCTTGCCACCTGGACCAGGGGGGTACTGTTTTGACCACACGGCCGACTTCGCTCCTTAAAAGAGTGCTCTTGGCGCCTGCATGTTTAAGTCCTGAAAAGGGGCCATAGTCTTGTTACCACTCCACTTGCCTGACGTGGCCCGTCCTTCAAGCACAAATATGGCCAAATTACTACGGTTCCGCGGTTCCAAAGTCGGAAATAAGGGAAGCGCTGTAGAGGACCTTCATTCTGGGTGACCTTCAAGTTCTGAGAAGCTGCCCGTCGTACTCCACAAAGAGAGCGGCTTCTGGGTCTTTCAGAACCCCGTGCATCGCCAGGTCCGGCTCTAGGTAGTGCCCGCCCCAATTCTCCGGCGACGGGAAGCGCCGGAACAGCTCCTATCACTACGGGCACCCGGTTCCTCATTGGCGTCCCATTAAACCGCAACCTGGCATTCAAATCATTAAAGGTGTTCCAACAACAAGGTAAGGATGCCAAAAGGGCGGCCGCATCCTAACTGGGGCTTGACTTCCACTTCCCAGGCTTTGGAAAGCCCCGCAAAAAATGCGGTTTCCCTGCGCATGCCTTTTGGACAATCATTGCCTAGCAGGACCCGGGGAAGGGACATAACCGAAGAAGGTGTATGCAGAAGAAAAGCTCACATACCAAAAGGACCAGCGAATCAAAGGCTTATTGCATCAATAGAAGTTCCCTTAACCCCAGAAAAAACTGCTGTTTATGACAAAGTATTAAACCTCTCTTGGCTAACCAGAGGCCTTTCCCAGAAGCATGCAAAGACACGCAACCTTCAACACACCCATATATTATTAAACCCCAACCCATCTGACACCACACCAGTCGTGAAACGTCGCGGCGCAAATCAAATCGTCTCCTTGAGCTCAGCTTTGGGCTGCCTCAAGAGAAGCAGAAGCAGACAGGAAGCCTCAACTTGAGCACTGCGAAAAAATCCATTTCGCACCTAAGAAACCGTGAAATGATGATGCCCCTGCCAATACCAACAAACAACGGTTTCCAATGGTTTCAAAAGTGTAGTATTTCGTCCATCCACAGTATGACCCTCTAATGGGTGACCTAAAGTTTCAAGGGAAACCACAAGGACCCCAACATATTAAGCAGCACAGCATGTTCTACAAGGTCACCAAAAGCTCTTTGAAAGGGATCCACAAGGACCCACCCAGAATATGTTGCTCTAAGGACCACTTCAGAATGTGACCGCTGCAGTTTAAAGGGAATGGACATCCTCAACTCAGCCTCTGAGTTGTGGTTTAATGGGAAACCACTGGGACCCAAAATGCCACTTACGAAGCCCGCGGAAAATCTGGGCACTTTGAGGGCATCCAGGCTGTGTGTTTTTCTCTCTTCTGGTTGGAGGGCAACGATGGGAAGCACGCCAAAGATAGGTATCCAAAACAGGGTGCAGCTGCGCAGCCCAAAACACTGCACCGGCGAATTCAGCGAAGGTCCTTCGATTGGTGTGATTTGGAGTCTCACCCGATTGCTCATGTGTTCCCTGTGAACATCCGGCACAGCACAAGTCGCGAAACACGGAGGGCGACGCACATCAAGTCGTCTCCTTGAGCTCGGCTTTGGGCTGCAGCCGCACCGCCAGCTGCGCCAAGAGCTCCGCCTCCGCCACGCTGCCCGGGCGCTTGGCGCGGCCCCGGCGCCACCACGCCGGCGCCGCCGAGGCGACGGACGCGCCGAGGCAGGCGAGGAGGGCGAGGACGGCCGGGGCCCGCCGTTTCCGCAAAGGCGGAGGGAGCGGCATGGCTCGGGCTGGCCCGCAAACCTGCGAACTAACAGAAGGAAAGGTTCAAATATACGGAGTGCCATCATCTCATGGCTCAACAACTGGGCGATATCGATTGCCACATTTCGCGTTCTGCCAGAGCCTGCCTCACAGCTGCCTTGAGGGGGCAAGTGCCCAGGCTGGCAAACGTAGGGCAGCTCCCCAGTCCCAACGGGGCCAACGACCCTCATGAGGCTCAACACAAAGCCACCTGTGCGACTGTGAACCATCTTCTTAGTGGGGACCTAATGAAATGGATCCAGTGAAAAATTGCACACTCTTGGAATTCCTTCCGCCCTTCAGACAGCTCCCTGGGCAAGCCGCCGAGTTGCGTGCAGCCCTTGCAACATTCTTCGGAGCGCATGTGTCAAAGTACCAGACACGCCACTGCCGGATGTGCGCGAAAGAACGTTTTCGCGTTCTGGCCAATCCACCAAAGCCAGCCAACATGCAGCAAACAAGGTGTCAAAATGTTGCAACATCACGCCACTATGGCGAGGGGCAGACAGGGTGCTGTCAGAGTTTGCTTCTAGCCTCCGTAGTGGGCAAACATGGCGTACTTCAACCGAGCGTACGCGAAACACAGTCTTTAGCAAGCCTTCAGCAATCAAGCAGCCAGACGGGCCCTTGACCACAGCACTGGCCAACACATTGCGCCAACTTTGCAGAAGACTGAGCGCAGCACATGCCAAACAAGCGAGAACACGTCGAACCCTGGAAGGGTAAAGAGAACCCCCCATCTCGGGGGATATCTTTTTGAATGCGCTACTTGATATCGCCCAAAAGTCCTGTGATTTCACCCCCCCCCCGCCCTGCAGCCCATGACGTGCAACACCAGCCTGCTAAGCAGACACTTTTTGGCATCCCCGCCGTACTGTCGAAGAAATTCGGATTCAGTCCGCGTTAGAGCTGCTGGCAGCTTTGCTGTCATGTTGGCTGCTGACAGAACTGCCAGACGACTTGTCAGGCGTTGATAGCTATAACCAAACACGCACGGACACTTGGCGATCAGCTCTAAGAAAGCCAATTCAGAAAATTGCAAGCCAAGCAACTTAAGTTTGGGCTTCAAGTTCTGCTCAATGCTCAATCCCAAAATGGATGGAAAGCCAGCCACAACCTTTGCAAGCTGGGCCTGGCTCAAGCCCAAGCCAAGAATCCAGTCTGCCGTAGGCTTCAAGTTCTGCTCGATGCTGTAACCCAGAATTTGCGGTTTGCTGGCCACGATCTTTGCAAGCTGGGCCTGGCTCAAGCCCAAGCCAAGGATCCAATCAGTCGTAGGCTGCAAGTTCTGCTCAATGCTGCAACCCAAGACTTGCGGAGAGCCAGCCACGACCTTTGCAAGCTGGGCCTTGCTCAAGCCCAAGCCAAGGATCCAATCAGCTGTAGGCTTCAAGTTCTGCTCGATGCTGTAACCCAGGATTTGTGGATAGCCAGCCACGACCTTTGCAAGCTGGGCCTGGTTCAAGCCCAAGCCAAGAATCCAATCAGCTGTAGGCTTCAAGTTCTGCTCGATGCTGCAACCCAGGATTTGCGGCTTGCTGGCCACAACCTTTGCCAGCTGGGCCTGACTCAAGCCCAAGCCAAGGATCCAATCAGCTGTAGGCTTCAAGTTCTGCTCAATGCTGTAACCCAGGATTTGCGGGTTGCTGGCCACAACCTTTGCAAGCTGGGCCTGACTCAAGCCCAAGCCAAGGATCCAACCAGCTGTAGGCTTCAGGTTCTGCTCGATGCTGTAACCCAGGATTTGTGGATAGCCAGCCACGACCTTTGCAAGCTGGGCCTGGTTCAAGCCCAAGCCAAGAATCCAATCAGCTGTAGGCTTCAAGTTCTGCTCGATGCTGCAACCCAGGATTTGCGGGTTGCTGGCCACAACCTTTGCCAGCTGGGCCTGACTCAAGCCCAAGCCAAGGATCCAATCAGCTGTAGGCTTCAAGTTCTGCTCGATGCTGTAACCCAGGATTTGTGGATAGCCAGCCACGACCTTTGCAAGCTGGGCCTGGTTCAAGCCCAAGCCAACAATCCAATCAGCTGTAGGCTGCAAGTTCTGCTCGATGCTGCAACCCAAGACTTGCGGAGAGCCAGCCACGACCTTTGAAAGCTGGGCCTTGCTCAAGCCCAAGCCAAGAATCCAATCAGTTGTAGGCTTTAAATTCTGCTCAATGCTATAACCCAAAATGGTAGGGAAAACTGCCACGACCTTTGCAAGCTGGTCCTGGCTCAAGCCCAAGCCAAGGATCCAATCAGCTGTAGGCTTCAAGTTCTGCTCGATGCTGCAACCCAGGATTTGCGGAAAGCGAAAAATGACCTTTGCAAGCTGGTCCTGGCTCAAGCCCAAACCAATCAGCCAGCTGTGGGCTTTAAGGTGTCCTCAATGCTTAATCTAAAGATGCGCGGTTGTCCAGCCAACACCTTTTGAATTTGGACCTTGCTCAAGCCTTGCTCCTCCAACCACAGCAGCATCGGATCCAGCTGTTCTTCAATGCTCAGACTCACCAAGACCACTTTGTTCCAATGTTCTCCAATATCATATCCTCGCATCGCCAGGAAGCGTCCTATCTCTTCCGTGCTGTTGCCCTGTGCAGCAGCTGAAATTGAAAACTCCCGTGCCCGGATCGAAAAGGCCCCACCTCCATTTTCCACACCAGGGGTTTGCTGTCTCAACACACTCACACGGAGAACGCCTCGCATACCAACAAATATCTGTCGTATGAGGTCCTCCAGCGTCGCCAGGAGCGACGCTTGGTCGCCGCTGCGCCAAGTGCCCACTGTGAGCCACAGCACGTTTTCCTGCGGCTGCACCTCCTCGAGCGCAGCATGGTTGATACGAACCACGTAGGATCCCTCAGGCGCGTATGCCAGCAGCGCCGCGTTTTTTGCAGTGTCCAAGGCGACCCCCTCCTCTTCCGCATGCCTCCAATACCTGAGCAGTGCTAGGGGTGGGGATTAAATCGCCTGCTAAGCACTGTGCCCTTTCCAAAACACATATGTTTGTGTGCGGTACTCATACCGAAAACGAGGTGCTTGCTCTTGCCACTGAAAGTTATAGACAACAACGCGGGGCCAGCAAAGTCAATCGTTCCGGCAAACAAACATGTGAGAGGAAATCCAATTGCAAAACTGCAATTTGTTGATGGCAGTTTAACCGAGGCCAGCCCCCTTTTCTGCAAATGTTCCTGGCAATCACCATGGCAGGCAGGGGCAGAAGCCATGACCATGGCACTATACCGTTGAAAGGGCAAACGCTCTGCACACATGATTGGTCATGCTTGCCACCTGGACCAGGGGGGTACCGTTTTGACCACACGGCCGACTTCGCTCCTTAAAAGAGTGTTCTTGGCGCCTGCATGTTTAAGTCCTGAAAAGGGGCCATAGTCTTGTTACCACTCCACTTGCCTGACGTGGCCCGTCCTTCAAGCACAAATATGGCCAAATTACTACGGTTCCGCGGTTCCAAAGTCGGAAATAAGGGAAGCGCTGTAGAGGACCTTCATTCTGGGTGACCTTCAAGTTCTGAGAAGCTGCCCGTCGTACTCCACGAAGAGCGCGGCTTCTGGGTCTTTCAGAACCCCGTGCATCGCCAGGTCCGGCTCCGGCGACGGGAAGCGCCGGAACAGCTCCTATCACCAGGGGCACCCGGTTCCTCATTGTCAAGAGACGGCAAGGTGACGTCCCGTGGGACGCTATGCACCGAACCCTCAAGCTGTAATACCAACCACGTAGAAAGGTGTATACGGACGATGCCGTTATAGCCGAACCCGTGTAAACGTTGTAAGGAAGAAGGAATGATAGTTACAACAGTAGTCCTGACAAATGCAGCGCAAGCGAAGTGTTTTCGCTCTCAATGCCGATCACGTATGTATGCAGTCACACATCAGATCTTGAACCTCAATTGTGTCTTGAGCCAAATGGCGATCAATGGAACTTGGGAAGCAACACCAACAAGGACCTCAGAACAGCTACCCAATTTCGGCACGGGGCCTAGAGGGTTTTAACATCCCCCATTTGGGTCGCATTGTTCATCATGCGGTCCAAACACCACAAAACGTTCCACTGGCCACGGCTTCAACTACGAAATCGTGTCGTGCATTCTTTTACTTGCTATCACTACACCGTTCATTCGCTGTGAAACATGCCGGGTTCGATTGTACGAAAAGTGAAACATTCATCCTCCAATCGAAGCACACATCCATATGCAGGTGTATATAATACACAATCGTCGCGTCATTTGACCACCAATGAACAATCCAGCTGCCGCATTTGCGCATCGCGCAGCTGTCATCCATAAATGGGTTGGCCGAAAAAAGACCACCAGAGGCGCCTGCTCGCAATCGGTCTGCATAATTCCGGCAAAGAAACATCGGTGAGTAATCAATGCAAATCATAGCCATTCCAGATACCATGGACAATGCATAAATAATGAAAAGATATCATCTATAAGGTAATAGTTCCATCCATGAATATCCAGAGCGTCATAGTCATCGGAATATGTAACCATGTACACACCCAATCATCTTGGACACATGAATATAAATCATGACATAAGTCGTTCCACCGAAACAGTGTCGATGTGACGCAAGTAACAGATGGGGACTGACCCACATCGTACCGCAATCAGCATCTTCACGAAGCATACCTGTCCCCAATGGACAGCCTATGGGTACGTCGGCGGAACTCCTCGTCCAAGTTCTTCTGGGCTTCTCGTGCCCGGACACACTTCTTGTTGTAGTCCTCTGGCAACCAGTGCCCTTTCCGAAGGCACCAATCCAGCAGGGGTGTGTCACATTTGTTCGGGTCGACGGCCGAGATGATGGCGCTCACGTTGACCGTGTAAACATGTTTGCCAAGGTTCAGGCCATCCCTCACGAATGATATATACTTACAATTGAAAGCTAGTGCAAAGCATCTGAAAATAATATCACCCACCGGGTGCACTCGGTCCTTGACCAGGAGCTTCATTTCTTCCTTGGTGACATCGAGGATTCTTGCTGCAATCCACAGCTTGTAGAATGTGTATAGTCCCTCGCATTTGCACACCATCATACGAATATATTCGTCACGCTCCTCAACCGATCGGAAGGCTCTTGTCCGAACATTCTCCGACTGAGAAATCTTCGTTAGTTGTTGATGGCAATAGTATACCTTCCTGATCGTGCTCAGTGATGTTGGGGTACCTCTTGAAATCATTGTGGTAAGGGCAGCCCTCTCTCCCCTCGAGCTTGGCATTCATCGTTCTCTCCTCACCACCCTCGAACATCCCCCACATCTTGGACATCTGGAGTGCGATAAATCCTGCCATGTACTGAGCCTCACGCGGCTCGTCAAGGCAGATCGCCATCCGTTGGGAACTTATAATGTCCCGTGACGCCAGATCGGTGTCGCGGTAATGCCAACCGCTGTCTTCTTCTTCTGACGCATAGCCGGATGTATATCCTTGCGTGTCCATGTCGTCATCTTCTCCCGGAACTTCCTCCGCTTCGTCTTCATCCTCCTGTGCTGCCGCATCGTGGTTAGCTTCTTCCTGTGCACGCCTGGCATCTCCAGAGACGTTGGGGTTTTGGTTGTCCTCCTCGTCATCGGATTTGATGTGAATGTAGTATCTTCCGATGGAGATCAGTTGTGCCTCGCACTCCAGGCATAAGCAGAAGCAGGTGGGGATCGCGGTCGCACATGATGGACATATCCGGCACCTCAGTCCTTCCCATGTCTCGTCATTCAGGATGACGACTTTGCTGATTTCGTCCCGGACCTCGTTGACCTGTGCATTGAACTCTTCCATCTTGTTGATTCGATAGAGTTCGCAGGCACGATTAACCATGTCAACGATGTAGTGCAGATTATCGGCACCTGTCTCAGTCTCCGGCATCCTCTCGCTGATCTTTGCGACGTTCTGGAGGAACATCGCAGCCGACTCTTGGGAAGAGTTGACAAAGCCAGGGCAGATCTCGTTCTCCACACACTTCGAGTACGCCCTCTTGATGTCAGCGTACTCCAGGCGCTTCCCTCCGTTGCTTTTGCCAATCCAAATGGACTTGACCTCATAGAACGGGATCACGTCAAAGACCATGAAAGTCCCATTAGCCGCGACTCCAGCCCCATACCGCGCGAGGGTTGCACTGGGAATATAGATGATCGCAATCGGATCCCCTCTCCTCACGTTCCGTAGCGTTGTCTTCGTCGCCACGTTCATCTCATCCCATGGAGCAAACGCCCCGAAGTGCAGTGCTAGCCTGTTGCCGCCATCGATTCCGCCGGGGACTAACCCACAGCGTACGATGCTTGGCAGGTTTTCCACATACGTCACATGGAATGCTCCTCCGAGAGAATCACCCATTCTTGCGGAATACCTATTCGCCAGTGCGGATGAGCTCATGAATCCAAAATCACTGTGACCGGTTGTGACTCGGATGCACCAAGGTCTGTACCATCCATCGCATCTGTTGAACATCCTGTCGATGTCGTCCCGATCCATGCCAGCTTTGGTCATTTCCTCCCTGGCCGCCCTCGTGTCGTTCGGGTTCATGATGCTCGGAAACCTTGCTGCCAGGACCTGAAATCTTGATTTCCTGTGTCCAGATTCCTGCCACTTGATCACCTCCATGATACCCATGTATCGTTTCGCTCTCGAGGTGTTATGGTGGGAATATGTCGTTGTTCCGGTCGTCAATGACAGCATCAATGTCGACCCATCCACCCTCGTCGCACCTGAAAGCACTTCCTCGGCAATTGCCGATCTTGTGTCGAAGGACTCTGCATAGGTCGTGAGATAGCTGGTTTGCTTGGTCCCTTGTAGTAAATACCGAGCGATCATCACCAATCCTGCATAGTGGAGCACCGTCGAAAGGAGCAATGCAGAAGTTGACACTCTTGCCAAGTTGCATCACGTCCACTTGCTCAAGGATTGCACCTTTGGGAAAGTATTTGGGGTCAACGATGGACGCATACGCCCATGGCAAGTGCACATCACTCACATCGCCATACTTCGGGATGTAGCACGGGATGGTGTCGCATCCCATCTCAAGCGTCTTCTTGAATGTCCTGTTGTCCCCGCACGGGTTGTAGGTGAGGTCGACGCCACCACATTGTAGCTCTCCTCCCTCAGCCGTGTCAGCCATCTCCACCAAATTAATAGTGTAGCTGTACATCTCAATTGTTTCTTTCCCTGCTTGTCCCCCTTTCTTTCTTTCCTTGGACGTTGATGAGGACGGTTCCTCCGTATCCCCCATGTCTTCATCAGATGAAACAGGGTCACTGCTGAGTAGCTCACGGAGCACCTTCATCGCCTTCTCATTTCCAGCAGCCTCCTCAATGTCCTTGCAGTCGCCGTCGTGGGCCAGGTTCGCGCACTTCTTACAGATCCCCATATCTCCCATGCACTTCTCCATTGACTCCAGGAATCCTAGTGCCGCTCTCCGCCCGTCGATCACTCGCTGCTTCTTGTCTTCCTTCTCAGTATTGGTTTGAGAACTTCGACTCGGGTCTGGTGCTTGACCAAGACCCTCATCTTCGCCCTCCGTGGCCTTTCTCTTGGAACCTTGTGCAGAGGGCTCGGTGATCAGGGATCGTGGATGTCTGGGCTTGACCTTGTTCATGATGTCAAGCACCTCCTTCGTGGGCACGCCGAGCTGTGCGGACGGTCTGTTCCGCTTTCTGTTCTGGCCCGTCGTGTGGGTCACGTTCCCAGCGAGGTGTCGCACTATTGACTGCTCGAACTCCCTCTTGATCTTCCATGCATCCTTCCACAGTGGCAGTTCGTGCTGGAAGTACGACATCACCTCAAAGAATCCCAACACCATCTCGACGACGTCTCCCAAGGATTCCTCGTTCGTGGTTTGTCCCAGGAGTTCATACATCGTTCCTTGGTCGAGCACACTCTTGATCCAGGACGAATATGCCACATTGCCAAGATCCTTGCCTATCAAGAAGATGGACATCCTCTCCTCGACTCCCTCGGAATTCTTGCACACGATCACATCCCGGGATGCGCACAATTGCTTCCCGTGACCGTTGTTGTAGAACTGCGCTGCTTGATCCACAGTCATGCTCACGAATCCCACGTGAGAAAGCTCCTTCTTCAGCTTGAATACACGAGCTCCCGTATGATCGTGATCATGGCCTGGATGTTGTTGACGTCCACCATGAGGTTTTGAAGGTCGGGGATTGCCACCACGCATTCCGCGAAGAGGCGCGTGTACATTTTCTTCCCCTCGATAGACATTGCAATACCGTTCGTGTCCGCGTTCCAGTTCGCGCAACAGTTCACGCAAGAAGAGGGATTGTACTTCGAATTCGGTCCGAGCACCTTCGACTTGCTCATCTGCATCTCTTTAGCGCAAAGTTCGCAGATAAACTTGCTGAGCTCCGTGACCGTATACCATCGAAGACGTGGATCACCGACATCGGCTTTCCCAAAAGCATCCTGCTCGCCGTGTCCTTCATCTTGCTGCTCTTGTTTCCTCTTCGACTGTGCAGTGAAGGTCGGCTTGTACTCGAATTTCACCTTCGATTCCTCCATGTTCTTCGGGATGTTGAATCGAAGGTCGGGCTCGTTTATGCACGTCCCCTCCAGCTCACACACAAACGCGTTGCTTGGTGCGACCGCATCGATGGATTTCTCAAT